TCAGCAGCAACAAAATTAATCTTGTATTTGTTTCCGGCCTGCGTGCCTAGTTTCTGTTTTATTTGTTTGACAATACTTCTCTTTCTCCCGGATGTATATCCGGTTTTATTATATGATTTGTCGACTGAGTCGGTTTTGTCAAATTTGCTTTTATTTTTCAATCTTTGCAGTTTTCGATTTGCATATACTTTACCAAGTGCGTTGCCTAGTACATGCGGTTCGCCGGATGGACTAGGTGTATTTGCCCCTGGACGGATGTATGTTGGGTTTTAAAGGTAATTGCCCCAAACCAAGTAGAGATTCGTCCATTAAGCATCCGAACTGAACATCAGTCATTGACCGCATCCGCATCCGCATCTGAATATCAGTTTTCAGAGATTTTTAATCCAAGTGGGGAAGGCAGACGGATACCGGCTGGTGTCAATGAGACATGCGGTGTTTGTTATGCCGTCTAGATTCCATCTTTGATTATTTAGGTCGAGTTAATCCTCGTGGGGTTAATCATTCTTCGCCTGATGTCTTGCTCTAGATGGAGCAGACGGGTTATCGTTTAGTGGCCGGCGGCCATTGGCCATGTGTAGTGGCCTTAAACGAGCAATGTTTTAGCTGCTAAGGTTCTGACTTAGCTTAGATCTTCCAATTTACCCGTTTGAAGTGCTTTTGAGCAACAACATGTTATATCAAACCAAGATGGTTACTGGTCACCGTTTGTTACATTACAGGCGGTGACCTATGATAACTAGGTCTCACTTAATCATTTGAACGGCTGCGAATTATCTTTATCCGGATAGTCGGTAGGGCCGTTCGTTTTTAAGTTTATAGAGCAATGTACCACCCAAATGGGAAATGTTCTCTGCGACGAATTCACCCGATGGGCGTCGCCGGATGCCCACTCATGTTGGAGCAGGCGATGGTTTTTAGTATTATCCGGCCACTGGCCATATCAATGTCATCCGGCCATTGGCCTCATTAGCTGCTAAGTTTTTGGACTTAGCTTATATCTACTCATGTTGAAGCAGACTTAAAATTTTAACAAGTCCGTCTGTACATTGCACAGACGGTATTTTATACAGAAATCAATAAATATGATTGAAATCAAAGAACAACTTTTCATTGATAAACTTTATTTACAAAATTTTTGAAGTCTTAGAAGTAATACTTTTTTAAGTTGTCTACATTCCAAGATCTGGCTAGCTGCCTGTCGTCTCGAGTTTCCAGGCGGTAGGTGTCGCCTCTTACTTCTTCATAGATCCGATAGGGGCCTTCCCAGTTGGGATTCAACTTTCCTTGCTTATTTGCCCTACCAGTTGCCTCTATTTTCCGTAACACAAAGTCCCCCACTTTTAAGGGTCGTTTGTGTACTCTTTTGTTGTAGGCTTTTGTCATTCTCAGTGATAATAACCTCAGGAAAGGTGGAGACACATACGGAGCCGAATGGATTATCTGAGGGCCAGAGTGGACGGGCAAGTTTGATTACAAATACCTCATTGAGGTAAATTCTGAAAGCTGTCTGAGTAAGTCGGCGTTGAAGCCGACTCCTTCTGCTAACATCCAGGCATCAGAATAAGTCTTCTTTGATCCATTCGGCTGAACATGTCGGATGGCCTTCTTTTTCCCTCAGGGAATCGAATCGGATCTTAGACAGATCAATCAAGGGTCGGCTCTCATCTTTTGGTTTGGGATGCGGAGTAGGCACACGGTCCTTGACTGGCTTTTTCTTCTTAGCCGACTGATCCCTATTGGAGCCAGCTGTCTTCTTGTTAATCAGGTCCTTGATTTACCATTTGAAACTTGTCATGAATTTCATGAGTTCGTCTCTAGTAACAGGAGTTGCGCCTTCCGCCGCCAACCTGATTATCTCACTTGGACCAGCTTGATCTTTGCCCCGTTCCCTTGTTTCCATGGGTCGGGTGCGCCTAGTTCTAAGTGACCCGTCTAGGGCCACATAAGTTTCAACCTCTAAATCGTCACCACTGTCTTGGAAGCCGATTGTAGGCCATTTCTCATTAGGAGGCGGTACAGGCTCTTGTGAATTTCATCTTAGAAGTACTCTCCCCACAGACGGCGCCAAATGTTTCGGGGTTTTCTTTGTCCCTCGAGAAAGTTACAATTCCAAAATTGGATTCCAGGCGCCTATATCTACAAAACAACGGAGACTGCGGGTGGGTGGAGTTTTGCCTCCGACGATCAAGTTAAAACGTGTTCGGATGATGTAAAAAGTGCGGAAAGTAAAGTATCTTCTCAGATTCCGAGATTAGGAGTAAATATCTGCAATTAATGATTGCTCTGTTTTTTGTGAATATTTCTGAATGTGCTCCCAAGTGGGAATATCTCCCTATTTATAGGGTCTTGGAATTTATGCCACTATCCTAGGTTACAGAAACCAAGGAATGGTGGGCTGTCTCGGGAATTGGGCCTTGAAGGCCGCCATTTTCCCAATCATTGTAGATGCCACGTGTCAGCACATGAGAGGTTCATTTTGAACCTCACTAAGGTGGCACGTGTCACCACCTTATTGGGCCACGTGGCCTTGGGTATTTTTACCCAAACCAGTAAGTAACTTACTTCTACAAGTTATCAAGTTAGAGATCCGGTCAATGGCCCATTTTGAGAAGATGGGGTAATAAGGTGGGATTATTTCCAGAATTTTAAAGGTGTGATTGTTTTGAGAAGATGAGCCAAAGATGGGATTATTAGCTTCAATTTTTCCTAATTTAAATTGTGCATTGGCAAATGTGATACTCTTGCAAGTCAAATAAAGTAGAAGAAGTATAGTCTAACTTATTATTATTCCTCCAAACAACCCCAAATTAATCACACACTGAAATGCATATTTTTACTCCTCTTAAGCTCTCTCTAATAAACTTTTTTTAGTATACACACCAGGTCACAATAGTTGAATTCATGTTTAATACCTTCTCCAACGACCTTAGATTATTATTCTTCAAGCTCACTATTCTTATTTCCAAACTCACTTGCACTTCTTTCATTTATTTGCCTTCATGAATACTTTTAACACAATCTCCTGTTAAATTTCCAAAAAATAAAAACTCTTTTATCACAACTCGTGTCATCATATTTGCTGTCATCGAGGATTGGTCATAATTAATTTTTCATTCACTTCACTATTTCTATTTCAAACTAACTTAAAATCTTAAATCATTCCTTCAAGAATCGCAGCAAAAATTCCTTTAATTATCACAAAGCTTTCCCTATTATTTCTCTTGCTCCACACTTATTTTTTTGTCACTAAGATCCTTAACTCAACTCTTTATCCTCAAAATTCATTTAAGTTTTAAGTTGCTCCACCACCTTTTCTTTCTTCTCAATAATTTTTTTTTCTTCAAAATTTCAATAGCTTTCATAAACTTTTCTACAAATTATTTTCGAGTTTCAACCCACATCATCAATGATTTTCCTAGATTCAATTAAGCCAATTTTTTGTTACAAAAGATATGCAACACAAGTTAAATTTATAGAGTTCAAGTCGAAGATTATGGACAGATATGGTCATCTTAAAAGAAGTGTACAACGAGATAAGTTCTACAAGTTTTTAAAGAAAAGGTGGCAATTCACACGTCCTAAGATTCCATATAACACATCGATGGAATGGTGTGGCAGAAAAGGCAGAAAGACATGTGTCCATTGCTAAATATGTAAATATTTCTTTAGTGAAACTTCTGGATCAAGGGCCCAACAATATAAATCTCAAGAAAGATAAGTCAAATCTCACTAACAACTTAATTATTGGAGATGGACAATGGTATAATGAAAATTGTTGAAAAGCTCACTAACAACTGATTAGCTTGAGAAACATCGGAGTGTTTCATAAAGTCACTGACTTTGACTTGGCAAGAGAAATTAAAGGTAAAGGAAAATCTTATTACATTATGAAGTATGTGCCAAGAAAGTAAACATAATCAATAAAATCAGAGGAAATAACATAGTCAGGGGGATGCTTGGAGGGAAGGTATGCCACAAACTCTATGAAGAATCTATAAGAGTATTATGACCAAATCATAACCCACATTAGTTATAATTTTATATGTTTAATAACTACAGATATAAAAAAGTTCGTCTACATGGCATCTGGAAAGATTATGTATCATTGTTGCACAGGATTAGATGTGGATTATTTGAAGGTCACTTCTTTCAGGTAGGTCATGAATATTAATCAGCTCAATTGTTCACAAAGAAAAGAAAAAAAAAAAAAAGCAAATATTGGAATGACAATCTGCAGTATATCATACTCATTAGGAAAATTTAATGCAAATTTACAAAACAAAAATTGATGCACTTGACAGATTGTAAGCAAGCTGAAGTCAATCCAGCAATTGTTTCTCAGCTCTAAAATTTAAATAAATTCAAAAAAAGTAAAAAAGAAAAAGAAAAAAGAAAAAAATAAAAAGAGGGCCCTGAAGGTTAACAATACTAAAGAGAGAAGGGGGGAGGGGGGCATAGAGCGGGGGAAAAAGGCTCAGGCCTAAAACTTACTCCTCAGGTTACATATCCCAAATCTTTACCCTCATGCAGGGTTGAAATTATTGGAATAATGCCTCCTCTCCCCAAAATGAATTACAATTGTACAATAGTTCATAACAGTACAAGTTAGCAAACAAATTCTACCTCCATTTCAATTTATTTGCAACTTTAGAGGACCACATGGAGTTCTAGGCAAAATATGTCTCTGAGTGTAAAATGGTTAGAGAAAATATGGATGCATGTGATGAGGAGATATATAGAGAGTAATGACAACCTATAAAAAGGAAAGAAAAATATTTGTTGCAAATAGTGTGTATCATCCATTTTTTTGACATAAGTTGCAAATAATATGAAACGGAGGTAATATAACAATTATAGGTAAGGAAATGAGGCTGGAGTCTAGCCCCTGACCATCAGAAAAGTGGTCTATAAGATATTTATAGGCTTGGAATATGAAGCACCTCAATACATAGCACCAGAGAAGCAGGTTAAAGGAAGAGAAATTTCATAAAGCTTACCTGTAACGATGACAGCAGTAATTACTGCTGCTATTGTCACAGAGGAAATGACAAAAAAAGCAATTGCCAAAGCCCCAATGTAGATTCCTGCTAGGCATGCAAAGAAAATAGCCAAGAAGCCACCAGCTGCAGCCAATGACATAAAAAGTGATAGGATGATCGCATTGACAGTTGCTGCTGCCAAAAAGAGCAAAAAAACTAGCACCCCTGTCAAGGTTAGAAGTGTAATTGTCCCAACCTGCAAGAGAAGAGACAATTCATCATTCACAAGATAAGTAATCAAAATTAACAATCAACAAAAAACAGCATATACCAAATTTGTTTATCTGTCTCATATGGTGATAAAACATGACTTCACCAGTTTTTAAAGGTTATAATACATGTGTTCAAATTTCTGGCTCATAATTACAACTTTCCAAGATGAACCCTGAATTTTAAGATAAAGATAGGACACTTAAAGGGATATTACTAGAGAGAAATGAGCTTTCATTAAGGGAAAAAATAATAAAACATAAAATTTGTGGAAGAAGCAAAGAGCCACTTCAAGAAAAAGGTTTTCAGGCTTGCAGAATAGCAAATGGCTAGAAGACAGCTAATACCCTTTTCCCTTGAAAAAACCATAAGCAAATGCAACGTTCGAACTCCACAAAGATAGAAACAAGAAAAAAAAAATTAAAAAATTAATGAACAAATTAAGAAGTACATCAATTAGAGACCATTTATAACACAGGCTCCTTAACAAAATTTATCGCCAATGTTGAATGGAATATCAATCATTTTTTAGCGTCTTGGACCAACAAACCGTAAACAAACAAACATTAATAGATTCACACAAGTATTCTGCTGTTTTGTGAAGATCGAAATGAACTCAAAGATCGTCTCAAAAAAAAAACGAACTCAGAGATATTCATTAAGAAACACGCGGCCACACAAAGGCCTTAGGAACAGTGCACTTCTAGGCAAGGCAACTCAACCAACATATGGTCACCAGTCTGTGGACTCGCCACCCCGTGTTTTTTATTTATCCAATCATCATCATTTACCGAACTCCCAACACAATTCCATATCCTATATATACACGTTAATTATAACGAAGTACTAATCAAACTATAGGAACTGTAAAACAACTACAAAAAGGAAGCATAAATCAATTAAATTGTAACATGCATCAAATTCCATAATATCCACGAAAAAAATGCAAAGTAATAATTTCAATACATGAAAAGTGCTATACATAAATGTACCAATAATTAAAAACATCTTAAAATGGATTAATCAAACAACAAAGAAGAATAAATGATAGCAATTAAAGTCATGAATTAAAGTAAAAACCCTATTAAATAACCGAAATTCAAGATTTAATTCCATCAAATTATAGAAATTGAAGAACAAGCAAGGCAGCAGACTTACAGATAGAACGAGAAGCAAACGAAAAGAGCTCCCATTACGAGCCCAGCGAAGAATATTCAATCCAGTATCTCTAGAAGCTTCTCGAAGATGCGGAAGATTCTCTCTAAAAGAAGCTTTGGTGCGGTAATAGATAGACGAAGAAGAATGAGGATCAGGGAAGAAGATCGGGAAGAGAAGAGATGAAACGGCGTCGTATAAATTCTTTGAACCTTCACCTTTCAAATGGGATTTTTCATGTTTGTTGTTGTTACTGCTGTGTTCTTCTTCTTGTTCATGTTGTTGTTTTTGGTCGCCATTAATAGTCGTTGTTTCAGCTTCTTCTGTGTTCGCCATTGTTGCTTCTTACTTCAACTGAAGAAGATGAAGATGATGAATTTTGGGGTTGGTTGAATCGAAAATTATTGATTGAATGAGAATGAGAAGAATAATTGTTTATTTATTTATGCAATAATTGAAGATTGATTGAGACTGATGTACTTTACTCCGAGTAAAGCACAAATACAATCCTTAAACTGTTGTATTTGTGCATTTTTAGTTCTTCAACTTTTGTATATGTATTTTTGGTCCCCTAATCACTCTAAGTGGTGTTTCTCACCGAATAGTTTAGGGACTAATTCTGGTCAGCAATAGTTTAGAGACTTTGTCTTTATTTTATTTTTATTTTTTTCACATAATTTTAAAAAGGAATCTTCTAAGATGAGGGGAAACTTCTCAGCCTCTAGCTACTAGAGACAAGGAAGGCTCTAGTAAGGGCGGAATGGTCATTACACATTATGTGAGGACATAACATACATGCATATGGTAGTAAGGGCAGTAATGGAATCTGAATTAAATCAATGAAAAAAAGAAACAAAGAAATAGCAGGAGGCACGTGAGATAAACTTAAGCCATTTTTTTGGGTTTGAAGCACCAAAAACTAGAGAGAGAAAGTGGTGTCCCGGCGCGGCGAACGCATCCCAGAATTGGGTAACCCGGGTGGAATATGATGGAGGATACAGAGACCGACGTTAAGCGTGCATTGAATCTTGTAAGTTGTAGATTATCGAACAATTTGTACCCGCATTCATTTTGGGAATGAATTTGGATATTGCTATGGATGTAATAGATCTGTCGTGTGGATTAATTTTTGAATGTAATTAGTGAAAGTTGTTGGCTGGGGAAGTCGTTGGTGAATGTAATTGTTGAATGTTGTTCATTGTTATGGAAATTAGTGTGAAAAACGAAAATGTAGCTGAATTTTGTGTCTTGGTTGTTCTTGAATTGGTATTATGTGTGGTTGTTGTTGTTCAATTGTTGTCGTTGTTAAAATTATGTCGTTGTTGATGCGAAATTTGGAAATGCAAATGAATCTATGAAGGGGAGAACTGATTTGGGGAAAATTGCTTTCAAATTTCCCCGATTAAAACTGTGTTGAAGAAGAAGGTTGTGCCCTATGTTGTACTTGGTTGTAAATTTGATTATAAACCATGTGAAATTGAAATTTGTTCTTATGGTTGGTGTAATTTTTATGTTTGTTGGTACTTTTTCCTGTTCATAGTGTAGTTGGTATCAAAGTACTAATAGTTTGTATTATATGTGTCAATGATGTTTTGTTGCATTTTATTTGATGTTAGATTTGTATTAAGTTATAGAATGTTTTTTAAGTTGAGGCGTTGATACAATGAAATGGATTGTATGCAGAACAATGATGTTGGGGTTAATTTAGATGTGGATACTGATTTTTGTGTAGATGAGGATGATGAGGTTGTTGTTGATGAGGTTGATGTGTTTGAGGATATTGAGGATATAGATGAGAATGAGGATAAGGATGATGAGTATGTGGTTATAGTATTTAAAGAAAGGGAGAATGTGGCAGAGGGACATGATGATGTGAATGTCCTTGGTGAGGTAGGGGAGAATGTTGGTGGGGAAGTAGCTGGGGAAAATATTGGTGGAGTGAAGTTAGTTGATGCACCTTCTGTGGGAATGGTGTTTTCTTCCTGGGATGAAGTTAATCTTTACTACAGGAGCTATGGCAAACAACAAGGTTTTGGTGTTGTATGTGTAGGTGGTTGAAAGTCGTTGAAAACTGGGGAAGCCAAAATTGTACGAAATTACGTGTGGAAGTGTGAGTGCTATGGGTTAACACAGTATTGTTGGGTTTCGTAGCGTCCAACGCTACGCGTAAGAGAAACCCCCAAGACCCGCCCCAATAATTAAAGCAATAAAGCATGCATAAACATAATCAAACAATAATTAAGAGAAGGGAGAAAGAAGTAATACCCTTGAAGCGTGCTTCACTCGTAAACCGAGCTCTTACTTCGAAGCTTAAATCCTCACAAGAGTGACGGCCTCCAACGGCTCATACCCACGATCCAACCCGAACGATCTTCGTCTCGAGGGTTAGTCGAGACTTGACCAAAGATAAAACTAGAGTTTTACGAACTTATTAGTTTTCTCAATAATAAGAGATGCCTTTTTGAATTCCACTCAAGTTGATTTCCAAATGCCCAATCATGGGGTATTTATAGGGAAATGCAACTTGCACTCCCATTCATGATCAATGTGGGATAGTTTGCATTTCTAACTAATTTATTTAAATAAAAAATAAATTAAAAGATAATACAATCAACAATCAACAAGTGGCACATGGAGAGGAGTGGTTAGGTGAGGACCATCACCAAGGGGGGGACCATTGCCTTGTTCCCCAAGGGATGCCTCCAAGCTTTGGTCCCCACCACTCCAAACCGGCTTCATGGCATGGGAAAGCTGGCAGCCTGCCTTGGCTGCTAAGGCTGCCAGCTGGCGCCTGGCACCAAGGCTGGGCAGCCAACCATGCCAGCCAGCCAGCACAGCTAGCACGCACAGCCCAACAAGCGCATGCGTGCTGCTAGCGAGCCACGCATGTTGTTGCTGCTAGGCGAGGCCTAGGCGCTGTGCTTGGTGCTGCCATGCGAAGACACACACATACGCATATGCTGCAAACACGCACAGCGTGCTGCTACGCTAGTAAGGGCACGCACAGCACGTTGCTACGGCTGGTGCTTCTTGGCTAGCGATGCACGCACACACGATGATGCGATGGTGTCGTGCTAGCGATGCAAGCACACACGCACATGCATGCTGCGATGGTGTCGTGCTAGCGATGCAAGCACACACGCACACGCATGCTGCGATGGTGTCGTGCTAGCGATGCACGCACACACGCACACACATGCTGCGATGGTGTCGTGCTAGCGATGCACGCACACACGCACACGCATGCTGCGATGGTGTCGTGCTAGCGATGCACGCACACACGCACACGCATGCTGCGATGGTGTTGTGCTAGCAGTGTTAGGCCTTGCCTAGCGCCAGCGCCTAGCATGCTAAGTGCATGCTAGCTCGAGCTAGCATAGCAACTACATGGCTAGGCCAATGTGATGCTACGGCTTTGCTCGAACTTGTTGCTTGTTGATTTTGCAACGCTCGGTCTTGACGCCCTAGGCTCGATATCCGACGTCTGTGTTCGTAATACTCTAGTGACTCATCAAATCCTTCGAATTGATTCGTCGGTTCAGATTGGTAGTTCGTTTGGGTTCGACCCGAAGGGTTCAGTCAAGACAAAGCTGTAATATTAATTGTTTACTAATATTACAGATCGGAAGCGGCCTCCACCCAGGCATTCCGATCACTTGATCTCACTGAAGAATTAACTTCCTAATAATTCTGAACCCTCTATCAGAATACTACACTTGTTGGAAGGACACCATTCCTTTCAAGTATAGGAGATTTGTGAATGGGAAAAGGGTAGTTGTGAATGTAGACCCTTTGGTGAAAAAGAAGTCTAAAAAGTGCAACTGTCCTGTTGTTTTATATGCAGCGATGAATAAACTAGAGGAATGGGTAGTGATCAAGGCTGTTAATGAGTACAAGGGGCACAGTCCGAAACCCGATGACTCTAATCATATTGCCATGTTTAAAAAAGAAAAAGTTACAAAACACGGTTGAGGCAAGAATTGACAATGATTATGGGGCCGGATCTTCCATACCTCAAATTTATAATAATTTAGCTCACCAAAGAAATGGGTACGAGAATATGGGGTTTTGTAAAAAAGATATGTATAACATTGTAATTAGGAAGACAAGGCTGAAGTTAAGGTATGGAGATGCTATGGCAATGCTAGATTATTTCCATAAGATGACTGTAGATAATCAGAATTTTTTCCATATGCATCGAGTAGATGGAGCTGGGAGGTTGAAGGATGTAATGTGGGTTGATGCTCGTAGTAGGGTTGCGTATGAGTATTTTGGGGATGTGGTATGTTTTGAGTCAACTTATATGACAAATAAGTATCACATGCCTTTTTCTAATTTTATAGGAGTTAATCATCATGGGCAAAGTGTGCTTTTAGGATGTGCTTTGTTGTCTCACGAGGATGTAGAAACATTTGTGTGGTTGTTTAAAACATGGCTTGCTTGTATGGGTGGGAAAGCCCCGGCTGCCATCAAGGTTGTTAGGATCGGGATCTTACCTTGGATCGATGGGGGGGGGGTGGGATTGAATCGATAGAATCGGATCGTAAGATCCTACTTAATAACGAATAATATTATATATTATGCTATAAATTGACTTAAAAACATTTCTTCTAAGTGGTTTCAATGCTAAAAGACATTGGTTTGCTTAAGAAAGCTCGATCTTCATTTAGCTTTGTCTGTATGGTAGTTAAAATATTAATAACACAAGTTTAAATTAATAAATTATGTGCAAATTTGTAAGAATGAGACCTTAACTATGACAATTGCAAGTTGTCAATTGATAAAATCATATTAATGTCTCGGATTCGCTAATTTATTAGCGATAATTATTGAATACATTAAATTTAAGTGCATATAGTTTAATGAGTAATAAAATATATGTCAAAATAAATCAAAGTCTCATATTATAGTAAAATGTTAGATCGGATCGTAGGATCGTAATAAAATCGTAAGATCGTGTTGAGATCCTACCACTCATAATTAATATCATAGTAGGATCGTAAGATCCTACAAACTTTGAGATCCTACCAAAGATCTGGATCGATCACGCAATTTTGGATCGTAGAATCGTAGGATCGTAAGATTCGGATTGGGATTTTAACAACTCATGATTGACCAGGATCAAGCCATGAGGAAGGCTATTGTAGAAGTATTTCCAAGGCCGCGTACCTTCCACTGTTGGTCATGTGGCACATTATGCAAAATTTTGCACAGAAGCTTGGTTCATTGTCGAAATACCAAGAAATTAAGGAGGTGTCAAAGCATGTAATTTATAATAGTTTGACAGGGGAGCAGTTTGTAGAATCTTGGGTCGGTGTGATGGAGAAATATAAATTGAAGGGAAAAGAATGTTACATTTGGTTAGAAGGTGTGTATGCTATTGGTGTAATAAATTTTGTTTATCTTTATCTTAGCCTTGTTGCTTCTGGTTAATATTTGTAGTTCTGTTTACAGGTTTGTTTCAGGAGCAATGTATGTGGATATCGGCGTACTTAAAACATGTTTTTTGGGCCGGGATGCAAATAACCCAGAGAGTAGAAAGTATGAATAGCTTCTTTGATGTCTATCTACGGAAGAGTACGCATTTGTTTCAATTTGCTCCAAGATATTGCAAGGCTATGGAGAGTAGGGCGAAAGATGAGCAAGAGGCTGATGCAAATAGCAGCCGTTTTCTGCGTCCTTTGATGACGGAGTTTGCTTTGGAGCGTACTTACCAGAAAATTTATGCGGATGCAAAGTTCGAGGAGGTTCAGCTTCAATGTATTAGAGTGATGTATTTGACAGTCCTTAGTAGAAGGAACGTATTGGATAGCGTGGTGGAGCATGTTATAGAGGATCGAATATGGGTATGGTCGAAGTTTTTTAAGAAAGAAATTTCCTATAAGAATGAGAAGCGGAATGTTGTTGTGACCTTCGACATGGAAACGTCCGATGTGGAGTGTGATTGCAAACACTTTCAATGCCATGGAATACTTTGTAGTCATATTGTGAAAGTGTTGGATATACAATTGGACGGTGCAGTTCCCGAGAAGTATGTCCTTGATAGGTGGCGGAAAGACATTCATCGGAAGCATACTATGGTGAAGATAGAAAGCCACGATCCTTCAAAAACTAAAGAAGTACAGCGATATGACAGGGCTTTGTTGGCCTTTGAACCTATTGTACTTCGGGCAATGGTGTCAGATGATTATGTTGCATTGTTGATGGAGCAAATTGGAGTAATGAGTTTACGGTTGGACGAGAAGGAGGGGAATCCTTTAGGGGCTGCATCTATGGTAGGTAATAATAAGAGTAATTGTGATGAAAACCAACCACACAACAACCAATTCCCAGGTACTCCATCCTCTATTAACAAGGGTGTTGATGGTGGTATTCCATGTACTGGTAATCCCTCCACTCCTATGGGTGGCCCGAAGTGTAGCCCCTCTACCCCATATAAATTTCCTTCACTAACTCCCACACCTAATGCGACCCAAAATGATAGTGTGAAAGATCCAGTAAGCCGGGCAAGGAAGAAGGCACCACAAAAGCAGAAAAAAAAAACGGGTCCTAAGAAGAAGAGAAAGAGTACAGGCAAAGGGAAGGGGAAAAAGGTCGTAGAAACATCAAGTGATGAATCGTCAAGTGATAGTGATGAAGAGATTGTTGTTAAAAAGAAGAGAATAAGTACCCAAAAAGGGAAGGGCAGAAAGAGGGCAACCGTATCAAGTGATGAATCTTTAAATGAGGGTGGAGAGATGACTGTTACAGAACAAGCTCGAACTGGCAAAGGCTCAATCACTGCATTGGTAAGTTATTACTTGTTACTCATATTGAAAATGGCTTGTTTAAAAAGTAGTAAATGATGTCAATTAGTATTGTATGTATGGTTTAGTTTGAAATTGTTATTGTGGCGTTGTTTCATTGACTTTTTGTTGTGTGGGCTGATAAAGCAGCAGGCACCATATGGGCATTGGCCCCATGATGGAGGCCCACGACCTCATCCTTTGGCATTTTTTGGTGGTCATATGGGATCAGCTTTTGATAGTCAGTTGTTCTTTTTTAGACTTGGTGGCATACCAATACAAATGCCGGTTCCTTTCACTTTCGGTGGTGGTGCGAATTTTGTTCGTGGGATAGAACAGGAGATGGGAGAGTGTAATCAGTCGGTAAGTTCTCGTGGCACATTATTTGCAGATATTAGTAAATATAGTATTCGAATTTGATGGTCAGAAGATGATATTTTGGTTTTCAATTGGTGGTAGGCTACTAATGTGAACAACTTGTTACCCTTACCCGCAATTAATTACTCTTCTGTAGGTGGAATCCATTTATCGAACACAGCGACGCTGCAGTATTTCACCAACAACTTTCAACGTTGAGCGTTTTATAGACTTGGGTTGGTCATGGTGTATTGTATTGTTGTTGGATATTTGGAAAACTTATATGATACCAACTTTCACGTATTTAATAGCCACTGCAAATAGTGGTTCCAACTTTTAGGTAATTTATACTTAGTACTTATTATTATACCATGTTTTATTGATTAGATACAAACTGGTTATTTAGATACCAACATCCACCTAATCAATACCAACATGCAAATTTTTAACCCAAAATCCACGTAATCAATACCAACGTACACTTGATTCTTCCAAGTGGATAAGAGTAATCTAAAAAGGTGGTTGCATCTTATCCTATTAACCTGATCCAACTGATATATATACAGGAAATTATTGTGGACATTTTGCATTCCAACAAAAAATGAGCCAAAAATGTCGAACAAAATGTGGAAGAGTGGATTTTATGTTGAATGGGGGTATAGCAATGGGGCAAGTGACAGAGTTGTATGGTGAAAGCGGTGTCGGGAAGACTCAAATATGCTTACAGTTACTTCTTACGTGCTTGTTGAAACCACGGGTTGGTGGGCTTTAAGGCTCATCTATTTACATTCAAGCTTGTCCCATATTCCCGGCTGAAAGGTTGTACCAGCTCAGTTTATCGTTGTGTAAAAGCGAGGAATTTGTTAGGGAAGATCCACTTAGTATGGTACAAGTGAAGAAGATAAACAGGCTAGAAGAAATAAGTTTGGTTTTGAATCAAGTTGAGGTAATGATCATAAATTCACATGAAGGTTGCAGGCACACAAGGTTTGTAGCTCTTAATTCAATTGCGTATTTGTTTAGACATGACCGTGATAACACTAGTAAAGGTTTCATGGAGCAAAAAAAGACGTTAGTTGCGGCCGTAAAGAAGATGAAAGAAATAACCACAAGTTACAATGTTGCATTTGTCACAATGAAGGTGACTGATGTTTTTGATACATCCGATTCTGTGGATGGAAGTGCTGTTCAAACCTTCACTTCAGGGCGGGAAGTGAAGGCATCCCTTGGGATGGTATGGGAAAGTCTCATGCCAAATAAGTTCTTCATTTCAAAACAGTACAACAATGAAACGGATTCATGGGAGAGGGATTGGATGGTTGTGAAGTGCAACGACAACAGTCTAATAGGTAGGCATTACAGATATTGTATTACAACCGCGGGGTTGACTGACTACTAATAAAAAATATCCTCGTGATTTAGGTTGGGTAGAATTTGTACTGCTGCTGTTAGGTTATACGTATATCCCAATAGTAATCGTTAATATGCCTAAGAGCCGCGTTCTAGTCTTAAAAAAATTTTAGATACTGAATAATCACTTCATGATACTAACATACAGGTTTTCGAGGTACCAACATACAAATAAAAAACATAGCATAACATAATCAAAGAAAAATCCGTAGTCATGTTCGAATGGATTGTTTTCTTCATCAACCAAACTAGTGTAGTCATTGTAAAATGCATTCATCACGTCAAACCCTTCCTCTTCGTCTAATTCACGAAATATTTTTGTGGCGTCATTGTCTTCCTCTTCCTCCACCTCGTACGTCTCGTATTTCTTTGTGCCATCCATTCGAAATGTCTGCGATGGTCCATAATTAATTTCATATAATTAATTAAACGAAATGTAAAAAATTGATTATAAACGCATTACTTTGAATTCCACCTCGAGGAGATGACCAAAGTTGATGCCAGTTGCCCTGTGCAAGTAGCGTGGCTTCAAGTAGGTAGCATTCCATCCTAGGACAATTCCCCCAGGCCCTGCATCTTGTCCAAAAGCATGAAAGCAGTAGGTAATTGGTAGATTTTTGCTCAGCCAATCGTTCATGGTTGTCGGTGTATGACTCTCAGTGATTAAAATAGCTACCGGGTTAAGTATCTTGTCAATGTTTTTGAAATTTTCTATGAACGATTGTCGAGTCATACCCATAGCATTCCATACTACAATGTATTCTCCAATTATAATGGGGTCTTTATTGTTGGCATATAAGGTGCTCGAACTTACCTCAATAGCATGATACCTTCTCCCTACCTTCGACAATTCAAAAGAGTCGACCTTCATTTTAAAATCAAAAATATTGGTGTGTACTACCATTACGTGCAAGGTGTTTGTGAAGGTTCCTATAAATAAATAATTTGGGGATATGGGTAGCCGGAAACACGGTGTTAGCTCCGCTCTAACCATTGGCTCTAGATCAAAAATTGGTAATAAATATTTGGGGACAAGTTCACCAACCTCCATTTGTTGAAAACACCAATCGAAAAACGCAATTTACTTCCCTGTGTAGTCACCTAGGTCTTCCATGTGAGGTAAGTGCGATGGTACAATCTTACCATCCCCCGTCTTCATAAGCTGGTGTTTGTTGCCTAAAAATTTGACCTTCTCTTTTCTAGATGCAAGCATTTCTTGTTGGGCATTGTCATCTAGAATCACGTGTCCGACTAACAATGCAAACTCGTCGATGTAGTATTTGTAACCCGTGTAATCTATTTCTGGGTTGTTTGGCTTTATTGGTTTGAAATACATACAATTTTTGGGATGTAATTTGGGTTCAACATTAGATAATCTTTTAATTTGCCTGTGATAAATACGGGTTGTAATTGAAGATTTCTTTAGCCGACAATATGTTCTCACCATTGTTAGTTGCAGGGAAGAAGGTTTTAAAATGCCTTGTTCTATTTATACCTCAATCATAAGGACTACAATTACATACAAGTACGGTGGTTAACATGATTCTTATTTGTTTTGGTACCCTATGCAGACCATTGTAATCTTTATCCACCTAGAGATGGTATAATATGATAAGTTGTTGGAATAGCTATATTCACCAAACACAAGTTGTACATATTGAAAACGTCCCTTTACACATTTGAAACATATATTAGGCATTTGAGAAGTTTTTGGCAAACTCGACAAGAGTAATTCAGAAATATGTTTGTTGGTATCTGCAAGATCTATGACTGTATAGTTTTACGTAAAATAATACCTTTCAGTACTTGATCAGGCGTTGTTGGTATTTTTAACATGGTTATTGGTCTTTTATAAGTTTTGTACTTCCAAAAAGAAAAGGCTGACACAAATGTACTTCATTTGTGCAATTTCCGAGGTGAAGTACTCAGTCAAAGTAGAGCGGGAAATTCCCCCCCAAAACCAGTTTTATATTCGAATTTGAAGTTTTAGATTGCCTCTAAAATTTAACTCTTATTTAAATGTGTTTAATTATAATTACACACTTTGGTTATAAATAATTAATTGTTTATATATATGTTGTGAAAAACATGGCCCCTTCACTAACCAATCAAAAAATTCCTTTAAACCCAAAAAAATTAAAAAGATAAAATCAAGGCCTCTCTCTTTCCCCCCAGAACACCTTCACCATGAACATGATGCTTTCTCGGCGGCCCGGATTTTAACGGATCGAAAGGTGAGATGAAGATTTTGTGGGTGGAAGCATACTGATGCCCTTGTTGTGTGTCGGTTATTGCTGACATCAAGTTCTTTGATTCCTCATCAAACCCAGGTAGACCTTATTATAAGTGCCGACAATGCAACTCATTCAAGTGGGTTGAAGATGACAATCTTATTTGGTCAGACATAATGATTCCTAAAAGGCTAGTTGAAGTTGGATTGGGGGAAGTCGCCAATTACGTCGTTGATATTCGTGGTATTGTTAGGTCAATTAAGCGTATTGCAATTGCTTTGGGATTTCTTGTTGTTTGTCTTCTTTTTAGGATGTAACTTATTACTAACCTGATTTATCTATGACTGATATGGTTAATAGATTAAAATAGTACTACCGTCTACATTTGGCTTATTAAACTTGGAATGTAAAGCAATTAATATATCATTTTATATATTTATATATGTTGTTTCTAGCTATTTTATCTTTTAATCAAATGTGGATATTTGATTGATTATGAAATTTTATTCGACTTTGATCGCTTTATGAGAACAAAAAGTTATTGGTATGATTTAAATTAAGTTTTCTGGAATAATGTTGAGGAAATTTAGTACATGCTGGGCAAATATAAAATTTGTATGAACTTTATGTAAGTTTATTTGTATGTCGTTCACTGTTAAATCGATTTGGTATTAAGTATGCCGAGTTGGTAGAATTATTGGATAACCCAACACGAATACATAACACATTAAAATAAACATTACTATACAACTTAAGAGAATAAATTTGTGTAAATTACATGGTGCTCATTACTCATTTACGCGGTTTGTTGTACTTTAGTAGTTAAGGAGGAATAAATGTGTTTTCTAATTTGATGAACAAAAATAAATGAAGTTCACTTCATTCACTTACACTTTATCCTTAATTTATGAACAAAGAGTGATTGAAGTGCACTATATTAACTACCACTGCCATCATTAAATAATCTACTATGTCTCCTTTATACCCAACACCAATTTATTACATTTTGGCATTTAATTGTACGAGTCATTGAATATTTACTTTACCTCAGTTGGTATGCTATCTAACTAAGTTGGTATATACATTTTATATAGGTTGGTGTTAAAAGTCATTTAGTTTGTATATTCAGAACTCAACGGAAGACCTACACTTGAGAAGTGTCGTGCAATGCCATAAATTGATTTGACTAACGAATGACTAATAACCAAAATATATTTAACACAAATATTTATATTCATTTCAACAAACTACTATTCTTATTAAATGAAGTCTCACTTGAGTTCATGGTGTATTTAGGAAGCCCTTTTGTGTCAACATCAACATCAACCTTTCTCCAACTTCAACCCTTCCTCTTTAAAAACCTCAAATGGATTACACTCCACCCAACCATGCTTTTCACGAAAACAAGGTCTTGCCTGCTCGTTCCATAGCAGTTAGACGAAGGCTTTCTTACGAGGAAAAGGGAAAAGCTAAACTTGAGGAAGAAAACAAGGGCAAAGCTATACTTGAGGAAGAAGACAATGAGGAAGAAAACAACTATGCTCCGACTGTTATGGACTTCTTAAAACACCAACAGAGAGAGACGTGAAGGGACACAATTGATGCGTTAGCCGTGGAGGAAAGATCAGCACGCTTGATGGTGAGTTATCTCCTAGCAGCTTTTGCTCGTAGTGGATCGGAAGGAATTTCAAGTACTCAATTTGACCCTTCCGAACCCTATCTAACTCCATTAGGTCTCCGAAAGGCAAGGAAATTTAGGACAGAAACATATTGCTTCTTATTTACTTGATGTTTTTAAGATAGCCTTTAGTTTTAACTTGAAGATGTTAAGGGAGACCATTATTAAGTGTATTGCTAAACCGGTGTTTTACCGTCACTTAATTCGTTTTTTAACGTTGTTCATGCCCTTGACTGCTTGGTACAATGAGATTATGAACAAGTTGCACGAGCATCAATCTACTCCATGGGGTTTGTTAGTCCTTGGAAGAAAGTTCTCAACCATAAAAGAAAAGGTTGACATGACTTTCGAGTGGATCCACTTTTCTTCTATGTATATGTGTTGGGAACTTAAGCAAAATAAGGAGGCTTCATTTTCCGTAACACAATGTTACAGCACAATGGAATTGATGCCAAAGGTAGGATGGATTTGCTTTTGACGGAGTCGCCAAGTATTTTTGACTTACCAGAAGAGTTTCACACAAACTCAACACCGCAATGGTCAAATTGACTCTTAAGAGGGGAGCTCGTTCAATTTATGGTAAGTCGGTGTTCAAGACCTCATCAGATGAGGGTGTTTTCGAGTGATCGAAGGGTAGTTATTGTAGTAGCGGAGTTAGTGTTTATGTTTAGTTCCTAGTTATTATAGTAGCGGAGTTAATGTTAATGTTTAGTTCCTAGTTATTGAAGTAGCGGAGTTAATGTTTATGTTTAGTTCCTAGTTATTGTAGTAGTGGAGTTAATGTTTATATTTAGTTCCTAGTTATTGTATTAGCGTAGTTAATGCTTATGTTTAGTTCCTAGTTATTGTAATAGCGGAGTTTATATTTATGTTTAGTTCCTAGTTATTGTAGTAGCGGAGTTTATGTTTATGTTTAGTTCCTAGTTGTCGTAGTAGTAGAGTTTATATTTTATGTTCAAATGTTTAACCAAATCAGTGCATGACTGATTCTACTTCACACTTTCTGTGGGGTTAAAGACTTATTATGTTACCTTTTGTTTGTCCCTCAAAATATTTTTACTCATTCCTATTTTGTTTTAT